CACTTATCAGTAAACTTCTTCGCCGCGTCAATTTGCAGTTGCAGTCCCTCAGGGGTGTCCGATCTACCGACAAAATCATCCGCAAACAGCATTCCTGAAACCGACGTTTCCGTGTCCCCTACTTTTACTCCCTTCCGGACTGCCTCTACGACTTCCAACAGATCGTTGATGAACACCTGGAACAATGTTGGGGACAGCGTGCAACCTTGTGGGACCCCCTGCTCAATGTCGAAGAATTTTGACAGTTCTCCGTCTAGCATGACCGCGCTTTTCGTGCACTCTGTCCCATAGCGAGGGGGGGGGTCTTTCTAGCGAGTAGGGCTAGACTCGCTCTCAACGGACCGATAACTTCTTGCTGCGGCGCACCCGCCGCGAGGCGTGCGTAGTGGTGGAGTTGGGTCGGCACTGGTGCGTCAGGTACAAAGGTGCAGATGCGCGGGCCTCCAGGCCGGTGGTGCAGGCAGCAATGCCCATCTCATCTTCGTGCGCGGAGGCAGACGCCATCAGAAAGGTGGACGGGCACTATGTACACGGCCCTAGGTTTGTTTGTCAGAGGGAGCTGTACTGTCCCGGTAGCCTGGTTTTGCCATCAATGGAGGAGGGGACAGGTGGTGACGAGTTGATTGGGCTGGTTGACCCTTCGGCGCGAGAATTTTCAGACCAAGAACCCTAAGTGCAACGAGGGAGGAAGCGAGGAACCGACTGGGAAGGACAGCAACGAGAGCGTGTACGACGCGGAGCGGGTCAAGTTTGGTCGTGCTAGGACTGGCCACAGCGGCACCGGAGCAGCGGCACCGGAGCAGGGGAACCGGGGCATGCGGGCGACATCGAACCGTGGCGCACGGACAAACATCTTTTGTTTTGTCAGTTATTTTCCGTTTTTTCTTCCTAAAAATAGGTGTTGGGTGTGTGTGATGACGTCACTGGTTTTGTAGAGAGACACGGCAGAGATGGCGCGGATAGCCCGGGTGCCTTAATTATGTACCTGCATCATGGAAGACCCGTTCAATGTGGAACGATTCCTAGTCAGTGTCGATGTTTACNGGAACCGGGGCATGCGGGCGACATCGAACCGTGGCGCACGGACAAACATCTTTTGTTTTGTCAGTTATTTTCCGTTTTTTCTTCCTAAAAATAGGTGTTGGGTGTGTGTGATGACGTCACTGGTTTTGTAGAGAGACACGGCAGAGATGGCGCGGATAGCCCGGGTGCCTTAATTATGTACCTGCATCATGGAAGACCCGTTCAATGTGGAACGATTCCTAGTCAGTGTCGATGTTTACATTGCTGTGCCTAACACAGATGAACTGGGTAGATTCGGGTGATTGTCAATTGCGATGATGGCTTCGGTTGGTTGTTCTTCTTCATTGTATGTCCACGGACTCATTCTGACAGCACTTCAGACGGCAGCTCCATGCCCCGAGCTTGTGTACCATGCACCATGGTGTTATTGTTGTACAGACAGCACTTCAGACAGCAGCACGCTGTAGTCGACAAACATTCATTTTGGTTAAGTGCGGGACAAGGGGGATGATGCTGCTGCTGTAGTCGATTTGTAGTGTGTGGGCGTGTAGTTCAGTTGTGAGCACGCAAAGTGCTGCGAGTTTGCAAGCAGCAAAACGCCTGGGGTTGGTTGATGTTCGATGTTGTTGGGACCCCACCGGCGAAAAAAGACGAGGGAGAAGAGGGGAGACTAAAACAGGAGAACGGAGAGAAGACAAGGCATTTTGTCTCGAGAAGACACTCACTCTCGTCTCTCTGGCCCACCGCAGGCTGTCAAACATGATGTGTATCAAACCGCGATATCCAATGTGGACTCAGCAACAACGAACACAAGAAACAAATAGACTGCTAAAGACTAGTCGCCGTTTGCGAACTGTGGACTACAGTAGTCGTTGGCCCGATATAGTGCCGGTATGTGCAGGGAAAATTTACCGGCACTAAACCGGACACCGGCACTATTCGAACTACAGAACGACTTCGTATTCCAGTTGTTGTTGTTGTTTCTCACGTTAGCTCTCTAGTCCACAAAAAATGGGGAGCCCGTGGTCTCAAAACCCGGCACATACGACGCCGCGGGGAAACAAAACAAAAATAGGGTACAAACCACCCGGACAAAGAAAAAAAAATAACAGAAAGAAAAGAACAGGTATCGCACCGACCGTTCGAGAAAAGAGCCCTCGGAAACCGATCAAAATAAGACAAAAACACAAATACGGAGGACGCTTCACACACCCGCCCAAAGAAAAAATCAAAGGGTACCGTACCAGCACCAGGCACTATGCACCAGGGCGTGGGAGTAACGGAGCAAACAGGACAAAGAGGCGGCAGATGGGCAGACAGCCAGACGTACAAAAACAAAGGGAACAGCAAAACGAGATCACGGCACCCAACACAGCAAAGTAGGCAGGGAGGTCATGAAAAAAACGAAACACAGAAGCACAGCACAGAGGCCGAAGGCAATACAAAGGACATACATAAAGGAGTTTAGCATACAGCAAGGAGGGAAACAGGGCGCAACGACATCAGCCGGGTACATAGTTCGCCACAAGTGCTGCCTNCAAAGAAAAAAAAATAACAGAAAGAAAAGAACAGGTATCGCACCGACCGTTCGAGAAAAGAGCCCTCGGAAACCGATCAAAATAAGACAAAAACACAAATACGGAGGACGCTTCACACACCCGCCCAAAGAAAAAATCAAAGGGTACCGTACCAGCACCAGGCACTATGCACCAGGGCGTGGGAGTAACGGAGCAAACAGGACAAAGAGGCGGCAGATGGGCAGACAGCCAGACGTACAAAAACAAAGGGAACAGCAAAACGAGATCACGGCACCCAACACAGCAAAGTAGGCAGGGAGGTCATGAAAAAAACGAAACACAGAAGCACAGCACAGAGGCCGAAGGCAATACAAAGGACATACATAAAGGAGTTTAGCATACAGCAAGGAGGGAAACAGGGCGCAACGACATCAGCCGGGTACATAGTTCGCCACAAGTGCTGCCTCGGCCGCCTTACTCGCTTCTACAGCAGTGCCCGGTCGCGCTTCTACCCCCCCACCGCCGCTTCCCCAACCCTCTTTCTCTTCGGTCCTGAGATGGCCGGACCCTCTGCTTCTGCGTCCCTCGCGCGCTGGCGCTTCGCGGACGCTTCCGCCTCCTGCCTGTGCAATTTCCTCATAAACCATGCTGCCCCGTCCTCGACCTTGTTGTACCACACCTCCGGGTCCCTGGCGCTCTCTTTCCATTCACCCCCTTCCTTTTCGTCTCCCATGTTGAAGGCCACGAGGTCCTCTCCTAGACGAGACACCCAGTCGCTCTCCTGCCCGCCCCGGTATCCCACGCCCCCCGCCATCGCTCCTAACAGCATGCGCTTGGGGAGGCGGCTGTCCTCCATGCGCATAACAAAG